CCTCATTTTTCCCCTCCCTCCCTGCTCCCCCCTCCCCTTGAACCCTTGATAATTTATAAAGTATTGTTATTTTGCACTATTGTATGCATCTATATTGTTTGACTTTTTAAAATGAAGACTGTATTCATGCTATATTTATCTGGATGGTAAATGTATTTTCAGTTTGCAAAAACAAAGACCATACACCCTCCATTGCTCTTCCTCCTCTTTTCCCCACCCCTCCAGCCTGGGTGCACTGGCCAGGCTCTGAGCCCAGGAATGGCACTTGGCTCCCCCCTCTCTTTGGGTCTCTATTACACCTGGTCTCGGTGCCTACCCAGTCTAGCTGGTGTATCTCTGTACTTACACATTCTGCTTAAATGCTACACATCATGCATTTCTAGAACCCACGCGTTAGGAGAGCTGCCTCTTCTGCAGCTGGTAGTCGGCTCTCTCCTGGAATCCTTTCTCATCTCCCCCAGCTCTTCAGACCACCTGCTCTCTCCAGTCAGTTGAACTCTTCAAAGTGGGAAACTTTTATCGGTGAAAAGTCACACTATGAATGCTTATCAAAGGATGACATCATCTATAAATGGAGACCACGGGGCCACCCACATCACAAGGCACAGCTTCCTGCATCCCTCTCTTTGTAGAGACCCCTGAGACGCTCAGTCACAGCCCAGGAGACTGGGATCAGTGCTAACGGTTTGCTCTCTTTTCACAGCTTGTAATTGAGTCTCACAGGAGTTGATCTAAATGAGCTCGAGGTCTAATGACAAGTGTTCTTTCACCAGAAGAGCAGGGAGATGGTATTGGAGTGGGTGGGTGCCTGGGAGCACCTGGAGAGGCTTTTGGTCATCAATGAAGATGTCAATCTCTTGTAGTCTTTGCTGTTGTTTGACCCCAGAGAGGCCTTCTAGTCCCGGAAGCAAGCCCAACCCACTAAGTCTTGCCTTCAGAAACAACTGTCAAGATTTATGAATAACAATCCCTGCCCTTTGAGGTTTATATCCTAATAAAGCCAGGTGGGAGATGTTAATGATAATAAGTTTCTACTTCTATTGTGTGACTTTTATAGCATAGTGGGAGTTCATAGTGTTATAAAAGATGAATAGGTGGACCAGAGACAGGGGAGTGGGGATCAGTTGTAGCCTCAACAAGAGGAAAGCGGATGGAGATGGTCACGTGAGGCCTCACATTCCCACCTGGGGGGGTGAGACTTGGAGTGACTCCAGAACAAGATATTTGGGTATAAAATCTGCAGAGTGTGTAGTCTCATACAAAAGCTTAACTCAGCATTTGCATTCTTGGTATTAGCATCACATTTTCTTTTGGAACTACTCTCTTATTTATCAGATAGAGCAAATAAATCAGTACATTAATTTTAGAGGAACTTAGGTTTTCAGGATTAGTGAAACAGAGAGATAATGGTCCACTACAAAGTATTAGGGGCAATGTCTGTTAGTGATGTTCTGTATTGAATTGGACATATCAGTACAGAGTCAAGTCTTTATAAAGCAGTACATCAAAAATTTAGCTTCCTTCTTGTTTTTCCCCCCCTATTGACAAAGGCCAGTAGCAATGTTGCCCCCATGATAGACCTTCACACACAGATCCCGGTTCCCAATGTTATTTTCCTTCCAAAGGAACCCAAGCTTTCTTGGAGCAGAGGCTAATTTCATATTTGAAGTGATAGGACAGTCCTGGAACACCAACACCTGATTAGGCCAGAAGGCAAAAACAACAACAACAAAAAACACACCCCAAAACAAAACTTAAATAATTGGGTCTTTCAAAATCGTGCCAGTCTAAAACAGACTCTTCCTGGCAATGTTGGTACAATGGAGCCTCAAGAGGAGGACATAGGCTGTATCAGTTAAAACAATAAATCTAAAAGTCATGAATCCTCAAAGACACACACACACACACACACACACACACACACACACACCAAAAGTGCACATAATGAATTAAATAGAACGTTTATCTGCTGAGTTTGGTTATTCAACTGTGTTGGGCTTACCAACTCACTCATTATATCAGTGAAGAATACTTCACTAGTTGTGTTATACCAGGTTAGCTAGAGAAATAAATTCGGTAACACTCA